AGTTTTCAAGACGGCACTTATTTCATAGTAAACAGATGTACCCATAAACCAATTTTGACAGGAAACAGAAGCATGGTTTAAAAGCTAATTTTTTAAATCACTTTTGACCAAAAAAGCACATCAAAGAAAAATAATAGCAAAATTGTAAAATTCATACAATAAGCTTTCCGAAAATATATAATTTTGTGGACAAGAGAGGTCATCTTGGTTTCCTAATTAACTAATTAAAATACCTGTCAGGTAAACTGCATCTCTACCTTAAGCCAAACAAAATCATCGTAGAGGGGTCACCGACTTCTGTGCCAATGTTGTGTGATACTCAAGGTTTCGTTGTTCCCGAAACAAATGAAAATACCGACAGTTTGTTTTGTTGACAGATTTGCCGTTTGTGAATCGAAATTTACCATGGCATTTTGTAATCAAAAAACTCTGTCTGGGAATGTTCTAAAATGATAGTATTCGTTGCTACGTTATTGTTTGGGTATTTTAAAGTTGGGTTACGAATAACTTAACTTTAGACAATGACTCTTTTTTGCTGAGGTTAGCGATGTCAGTCATTTTGTCGTCTTTGTCGTAACAGTTCGGAAAAATTGCTGAAAACCGGATTAAATTATATTTTAGTACAACGCATTGTTAAATTAATATTTATAGTTTACATTGTTATCATTACTGTGGGTTAAATATTGGGTTGATGTAAAACATTTCCATTGTTTCAATAGATCTGCGTCTGCTGATGTCTACATGGCGACGAAGATTTGTACCCCAAAAATCCGAACGTTTCATAAGTTTATTTTGACATTGAATTGTAATCTGCGAGTCTTTTATGAGAATTCTATGTTAGTTTAAACAATGTTAGTTTCATGTTATCGAAGTTTGCAGACAGTTTACTCCCAGATAGCAATGTCGGCCATCTTTTTTTCCTGACCGCTGCCAGTGGAAGTGTAAGTGGCACAGGAAGTTATATGGTTTCATAGTGCAGTTTTAATCTGAATATATATGTATTTTTATTTCAGTGTTCATATTCCTACTAAATCCTGACAATGCTGTATCAATTTGTTACGAAAAAAAAAACATTACAAAAAACCCCAATCAATGGAATCGTCTTCGAACGAATATGTAATTTTATGCAAATTATGATTGCCGCAAAGTCGGCAGTATGCTAAATCTTTTGTTTTAATTGTTTACAGAGTCACGCATTCTAACAAAAGAAGTGAGTGAGTTTCCTAACCGTTTATCTAGTAACCGTGTTTATATGTTCTGGTAACAAATCATTCATTTTTTTTTGTATTGAAGAAAAAAATCATTGTAAATCTACTGAACCAGCAATATAAATACAATTTAAAACGTCAAAACTTCGAGGGATACAAGAATATTTTCTGAAATTACTGTGACAAAGAGGTAGTTTGAAGGGATATACGGAGCGGAGATTTCTGGCAGGAGCATGAAAAGGAATTTTGGAAATAGCGTAAAAAGAATCAAAAATATTATTAAGGCATTTATACAAAAAGACGGAGTCAAGGACATTTCTACGATTCTCAAGTGACAATAAAGTGAAACGAAGGCATAATTCATGATACTGTGGTGATCCAAATGGGCGATAAGTAAGTTAACATAAGTGTTTGACAAACTTGGTAATGTATAACCCCAAATCCAATGGTAATACTAGACTGGTTTTAATCAACTCGCAGAGAGGATTGTTTTGAAACATACCAATAAAATACATAAACTAACAGAAAACAAAATTTCAGATAATCGATATAAGCCCTCACATGGATCACTTTTGACCAAGATCTGAAGCTGATGGAAAATTATGTCTTTTTAGTTCAAAGTTATCAAAACAAAAAATAATGCACTACCTATCTGTACAAATTACATTCAATGCTCACAATTCTTGAGCATGTGATGTTTTTTTGATGTGTTGCACCTCAATTGAATGCAGGTTACATACGTTTGTATTTTCTATGTATTTGCTATACCTGAAACAATTTATACAAAATAATATAAAACATAAACACATAGCCAGCTCTCGATTTGTGTCCTAGCCCCCCTTCTTTCCCATCTCTATTTCAATCCTGAAACTTGTTTTAATTCAAAATTAATTATGACAATGCATATTTATATTGAAACAAACCATAATAAAGGAAATAATATTACATAATAAAGGGAAAGGTCACCAAAATTCACCTACTTGCTACATATTTGTTAAATCCCAGTAGTTGTTTGTACAATTCCTATGAATTCGATTCTAGAATTGTGTTGGATAAAATTTCTCATCACTGTAAAAAACAAAATCACCCACAATAATTACAAAACTAAGTCAGTTGTTATTCAAAGTGAGAGTGTAATAAGATGAATAAACTAATGACAGGTATTTTGTAGCCTGTCCACTAAAGGTTGTCTATTTATAGATGTCAATAACTCTTTCAGTAATTCAACGTTAGTATTTGAAATGTAACCAGCGCCCTCTAAGTAAAGAAATAGTTTCATTCCAGTCGTGAACATATGTTCATCTTGTCTTGACAGTTGTTCATCAAGTAGAAGATTTTTCATCTCTTCAACCTCATCAGGGCAAAGATCATCACTAATTTCCTTTAGTAGCTTCCTGAAAGCTGTTACTTAAATAATAAAAAAGAAATAAAATGAAAATAACATATCTAATGAAGTGACATGAAATGTCAGTCACATGGCAGTTAAGTTACCCATTTATTTTCGGACGTGTTGTTCTATATCCAGGCTAATTTAGGTTTTGAACAAAACAACCCACATTATTATCTGAAAACGTCATCACATTATAGTCGTCACGTTGCACATTCAAATGGTGTTATATTATCACGTACATACATTTGGGTTTTTTCATTTTTTGCTCTGGTTCCTCATCCGTATATTGTCGTTTTCTTGTCTTTAATAGTGAGCCTGTCATGATGGGTTTTGGATGAGACGACGTACTCTGTGCAGTATCTGTTAAATAATGTATAAACAAATAAAATATCAACATGTAAGCCATTAATTGTACGTGTCACTTTGTTTACTGAGGTATAACGTCACACAACGATGAACATTGTTTCTTTCAGACAATAATGACAAATATATATGTCATTATAGTGTTACAGGTTGATTACTGAACCACATCTACATGAACGATTACCTACAGTTAATCCAACGTATCCACATACCTTGTGTTACATGTAAAAGCTCTCTGCGTGTTTCGCTAAATTTCTTCAATTTAGCTGCTAGCTTAGCCCGTCCAACAGATCTTAGCTCCAAAACCTTGTATAAATATGATGTGTTTGTTGGTGATATAACTTTCCTTTTTTCCAGTGCCAGAAATAGTTCGCTTGCATGTGTCATTTTACATCGCTGACTCTCTGGTATTATTGTACATAACCTTTTCATTGACGCCAATTCCGCTGTTTTGATGAAAAGTAATAAATAACATTAGAGTTGCATTCCCACTTTGCAAGTATGTAAAACATCAATCTAAGAACAACAAAAATAGATATCCCGCTCTAACTTTTGCGTCTATTTTATTTTGATTTCACAAGGGATCTTATCTCTTAGACAAATGTATCTACATTGCACCTGACCTTCAAAGTTAAACACAGCCTCCTAACTCAATGAGTGTTTACTGTTTACAAATCTAGCCTGAGGGCAATGTTTAGCATGATGATATCATAACAAATCTACCAAGTCGTATACTACCAACTCCCATCCAGTGACTTGCCACAAAAGAGCGCACAATTGTGTTTGTCAAAATATTTTACCGTCTGATATTTCAGCTCCTGTTTCCTCCAAAAGTGTTATGAACTCATCCATATCATCGGGATTGGACATTCTAGTATTTTATATAAATCATACCAACCAGCAGACCTGAAACAAAATATTGTCACAATCAAGGATTTATCGAGTAGCCGAGGTAATCGATAATGTAGATTTTATAATAGCAAAGCTAACTTTGAAAATATATGCTGTGCTCCCAATCAGGTTTGAGTGTCACAATTACAATGTAGGTTCCACCCCAAGCATTGTCACAATTACAATGTAGGTTCCACCCCAAGCATTGTCACAATTACAATGTAGGTTCCACCCCAAGCATTGTCACAATTACAATGTAGGTTTCACCTAAAGCATATTCTTCATTTTATTATTATTATTCATATTGTTTTCCTTCTGCAAATTGGTTTCGACTGTAAATCCAATATGCAGAAAATGTTTTTTTTTTTAAATCGGTCTTTGTGTGGAAAACCATCAGCCAGCAATGGCACTTGATAAATTGGTGCTTAGAATGGATTGTTATATCATTTGTTCAATTCGTAGCGATTTCACCTATTCTCTATTTTTGACGAATATTTTTAGCATTCTTAGTAAAAAAATATATTTTTCACGTTTTATTGAAAACTGCCTGCTAAATTGCTTTGATATTCGAAATGTGGGTCTTTTGGGCTGACCTCTATTTGATTTGTTCCTTTCATGACAATTTCATCAATTCTCAACATCAACATTTTTGGCAAATTATTTTTGGTAATTTGAAAATTATCAGCCGTATTGCTTTAATATTTTTGATATTCTTATAGGAAGTAGACATGATCTACTTGTCTATATAGGTTTGTATGTATATGGAGTTTGTCATGGTAAGGAAAGTTTATTATCCACTAGTTTTATATCCTATTCTTTAGTGAAAACAAATGTTTCATTTTCATGTTTGAAACCACCATAACTTTTGATGTAAATGACCGATTTGTTTCTTATTTGGTGTGTAGCATAACATCACGTGCATCAACCGTGCTATGTTAGTCACGTGACTGTATTAGTTGACATTACAAGTATTACAAGCAATCCATTTTACAGGTATGCTGCCAGTGAAGAAGATCAATACTAATCAAAGAGTAAGGGGTGTGAATTCCCAAAAAGCCCTTAACAACCAAATAAGCTTTTTTTGTTGAACATACAATCAATTGCCAATATGGTAAATTGGCTTTTTATAACTGACTATTTCCCAGTTTTTTCTCCCACTATTATATGTTTAGGTTAGGCCTAAATATGTTTTCATATTTTTAAGCATTTCTTTCAAATCAGTGATCCAAAAAAATAAGACGATTGAAATATATACATATAAAAATTTAAAGAACAGATACAATATATCACAATAACAATTTGGTCAACACCATTATTTGGTTCCATTGGCTATATTCAGAGTAAAAGTGCATTTAACAGTTTATCTCCATGGTTTTCATCCAGTTTATATTCCGACTTATACACATTTCCGGAGGTTACATTCCCCAATAGTGATTTTACATAGACATGCTATTTAATGAACGACATAGACATAACTTGTTTTGTTCAAGCGACAGTCACGTGACTAAGCACGCGGTCTGTTATGAGTTGATTCAGTACCAGAACGTGCTTCTTTGAAAACACCTGTACTGAATATTTGCTACAGCGTGATTGTATTTAAAGCTCGATGAGGGTGGTGTTGTTTTTATGTATGGCTACAAGTTAATGTCAACATAGTCTTTCCTAGTCTGGGCAAATCCTGAACATGTGTTTTTGGTAAAAATATAGCAACACGCTAACATTGTTGTCTATAGAAATCTTATTAGTGGAATGAGACTCATTGACCTTTGACCTTCATAATTGTTTCCTTATCTTTGAGTACATTAATCCACCGTCCCTCAACACGAACGGTGATAAATCACATCTTCAGGCGCACGCTTGTGTATACTGCAAGTTTAACGATCTCTTAGTTTTAAATAACACTTTTCGATTTTTAATCTCGAGTGTAATTTGATTGCAGGATTTTCTAACAAATGTCCTCATCTACTACTGGTGAACAGTTTGAAACTCACAGTATTTTAAAAACATGTATAAGCTCGAAATGTAGGTCACTACTTTTATTACAAGTGACCCCAACATTACCCGGAAATAATTCGGCTTTTCAACAGCAGTCAAACCAACCAAATTTATTAACTACACTGTTCAAATATATCTATGTTGAAACTCACCTTTATTGTAGATAAGATCTATATCGACTCAAGTATGTAATTACTGTACTGGTGGTCTATAATGGTGGCTATTTTGATCTGAACGATGGCCACACTATTGGTGACCATTCAGTCGTAACTTGGAAAACCCATAATCCTATACGCATGCGCAGGCTTCCCTCACATAGTCTTTGACAATAAATACGCGTAGCGGGTGTTTTCCAATTTCCTGACAAGTTAATGTACTAATGTAATGTTAATTCATGTTGTTATGATGTAACTGGCTAACTATTCCAACAATATGATATTATTGATCATTAATTTGATGTCAATACTCACATTTATTTTTACCATTTATATAGCGGCCTAGTGATTGGCAGTAACCAATCTGAGATGACGTCACAGTTTGCGAATTTTCTACAGTGATAGATGACAATCCATGGTGTTACTGACCATCTATTAATCTTTTAGCCTCGCCGTCCACAAAGCTAAGGAGGTAGGCAAACTTCTGATTGTCAGATTTGTTATGCTAGTATTTATCAATGTGGGCCAATCTGATTAAAATAAGATCCTGGTTGGCTTAATTTTTTTTTTCTTTTTTCTTTTATATAATTACTATAATTGTTATTTATTTTAATTATTTACTATAATTATTATTTATTTCAATTATTTTTTAA